CCCAAAATCTTCTAAATCTCTGGGGGACAAAAAAGCAGGGTCTTCTAAATCTCTGGGGGGGGGGGGCAAAAGGGTCTTCTAAATCCCTAGGTATCTTCTAAATCCCTGGGGGGCATCTGTGCTGTAAAACTTTGTAGAGAATGAGAACCGTGGGCCTGGGATGGGAAACTTGGGGTGGGAACAGCAAGAGACAGAGGTCCTGGCAGCAGAAGTGACGGCAACCAGGGGATTGGGCAGATCCCTGCCATTACCCCCCAGCCACCCACCCACCCAGAGTCTCTTCATCCCCACACTTTGTGGAGAGCACCCCCTGCCTCTCACTTCCCCAACCCCGCTTCATCTCCTGAGCTCTGCCAGGCTGTTAACAGCAATGGGGCTCCTCTACTCTCCCCAGGTCTCTAGCCCTAAAGCTTTTTCAACTTCACCTCTTGCTTATCTGCCTGTTTGGGGTCCCATCCTTACCTCCATCTCCCTCTTCCTGGCTTCTCTTGCTGCTGTCTCAGGCCAGCAACGCCCCGAGTCCTGCAGCTATGACCTTCTGGTCCTCAGTTTCTCTCTTGATGCTCAAGAAATCTAAGATTGTTGTAGCACAGCAGGGAATCGGAAACGGGTTTCTCTATGCTCTTATTGATTAATTAAGGCAGCACTCGGGTCTTTATCAAACCTGGCCCCCGGCTCTGGCCTCTGGGCCCTGGGAGGGGCATTAAACACAATCCCCAACTGCCTTGGCTTCAGATATTTTCACAGCTTCTGTTCTTAGGTACTTGGACTACACCTTCTCTGGCCTGACAGGGACCTTCAAAGTCAATCACAGAAGGGACCCTTAGCCTGTTTTCTTTGGATATAGATATGGAAATTCAGTTAGGAGTTGGGGGAAGCAAAACTTAGCCTGGGGAGTGGCAATTCTCTCCAGAGCCCTCGGAGCCGCCAGGTGCGGCTGTTCAACCCGTAGGGTAGGCACTCGGTGTCCTCCTTCAGGGCCACTGTCTCTCTGGGCACTATGCATAGTGCTGAGGAGCCTCACTAAGGAGCTGTGACACCTGGGAATTAAGGGAGGTGACATGCAGAATGCACCTGGCCCTAGAGAGCGCTCCACTGGCCTTTGCTCCCTCTCCCCCATTCTCTGCCATGCTGTCACATCGGCTTGCAGGGTGGTCTCACTGCTGGCCGGTAGAATTTACAGGAAGGAATCGGGCCAAGCCTGTGGAGTGGGTCTAGACTGAAAAATAAGCTGATCATCTACCTGTGTTGTGGGGATGGGAGGCAATTTTCTGGCCGGGCCTGGGAGAGGTTCAGCGTTAGGAGTGGATCTGTAAAATGTTCTGTGTGACTTAAAGGCGACACGTGACTGGCAGTTTCAAGCAGATCGGTTAGGGGAGGGCTGTGGGGCTGTGTGCCTTGTTGGGTTTGTGTGTTGTGAAATTATTTGACAATGAAAACAAGTGAATAAAAATATCCACTTGTGTTTTTTAAACTTTTATTCTAAGATGACTTCCAGGGATGAAGGAGGTAAGCGCCATCTGCTTACCCCAGCTCACAGCCAGACACTGTGGCTTGGGTAGGATCTTAAGCAGTTTTCTTAAGGTCTGGATTAGAGCTTCTGCCCAGCTCCGTTTCTCTGTGAGAAGAGTTTAATGAGTAAGAGGGTGGTCACTGAGAGGTGCAAAGAATCTCGGGAGAAAACATAGCCCAGAAATAAAGGCACGCCCATGGTCACACAGAAAATGGGAATAAAGGCTCAGTCTTCCACCTCCCTAACCTCCAGAGACCAAAAACCCCAGCTCGGAACTGGCTCGAAAGGCAGAGATAGATACATTGGGGCAGGGGGATGGTGAGGCAAATAGCTCCTCAGCTAACGAATGTGAGGAAGGGGAGGGATTTTATACTCCAAATGATCTTTTTTTTTTTTCTTTAGAACATAGACATCTGGTGTCCTATAAATAAAATTCAAAATGTAAATACTGTAAAGCCCATTAGAGAGTGGTTTTAGGTTTGGGGGGGAGCACGGGTCAGTTGCTAACCCGCTGCACTGTGGTGGGAAAACGTCACCCCACACGTGGGTGTTCTCGGCTCCAGCAAGCCGCCCGCGCCCCGCACCAGCCAGGCTGTGCTTCGTCTAACGAATAAACATTAAAACACGGGTCAGTTGTCCTATAGCTATTATGTTGCATGAACAGTTTTAAATAGCCACCTGAAAACCTTTCTGCTTTCATTTTAGTCATTGGGGGAAAAAAATACCTTGTGAAGGGAGAACACCACACTTGTTGCTAGGACCCAAATTCCTGTACTCGCCAATTAAGTCCCGAGACACGCACTCAGCCAGATTTTAATATCGGGTTTAAAATGCTCTTCAAAAGACACTTTCTGTTTGAGACATGTAAAACAAGCTTTATTTAATAATGCTCAATTTGACTTTCTCAATTTAAATATTTGCTCTGATCAGCAACCATTTGATCCCGGCTTCGTTTCGGGCTGAGGAATAATTTCTCTGGGCTTTTCTTCAGTGCCGGGTTGATCCTGGAGGCCGAGTGGCTGCTCTCGAGTTCTGCACATTTCTCGAATCTGCTGCGAGTGGAAAGAGACAGGCATAAAAAGCCTCTCCCAAAGCTGCCACATAACGTTTGCATTGTGTGTCCTCACGTCTGTGTAGCTGAAGACACATACATCATTTTTAAAAGACTCTTCATAATGGAATAATTATAAGGGAGATGTTTTTATTTTTTTAAAGTAGAACATCAGAATGCAAAGAAATTCCCAAGGAGGTATTCTGTTTCTAGATACATTCTGCTGTGTACCCTCTGGTTTTCCCCCATTCAGGGATTTTTACAAGAACTGTATGCACGAAATGGGTGGTCGTCCATTAGCAGTCAGGGATTTTAAGACTGAAGCTCGAAGAGGGAGAGTTAATATGTTACTTCAATGTGTTTTAAAAGAGGGAACGTCACTGTGGATTCCACCAACCTTAGGAACATTTCAGAGATGTTTTGGTTCCCGTTATTCCTATTGTTCGGATTTTACTAACACAAGATTTAAAAAACCTTGAGTTTTGGTTTTTATCTTCGCATGCGCCCTTTAGAAAATAGCCGCTGTGAAGCCCGTGGCCCTGGTCCCCCTCTCGAGGTATCGTAAAGCCGTTCGTACGGCATAAACGCCTGACAACCTTGCTCCCTGATACCAGCCGGGGGTGAGTCAGCCAGTGGCAAGGGTGGGAGAAATGCTATCCATTATCTGAGCAACCTCCACAGGGACTGTGACCCCCGCATGGGAGGGAGGGGAGGGGTCTTTTGCTGTGAAAGAAGTGTTTATTAGCGCAGGGCCAGCGCCTGGTTTATGCACCCCGGCCGGGTGGAAGGATGCCACCCCACCCCGCCTGCAGCCTGCGTCCTGGCCTGAAGTGTTTACCGCCAGGGTGATTTACACCATCCAGGTGTTCACTTGGGAAGCACCTCGGCTCTGAGCTGACACGGCGATTGCAGTGGGTTTGCAGGCTACAGCGTTTTTCTATTCATCAGGGTCCAGGGGCCAAACACAGCTTTTGTCAATGCTGGTGCAAAGCAGGTTCCTCTCCTTTAGCACCCCGCGGCTTTCAAAAGGGTCTTGTAAGCAGTTTCTTTTTTTAACGGAATTCAGGGTTCACAGATAAGCCTGCGGTTATGGCGACTGTTCACTTCTCACCAGCCCCACAGATCGGCCTCTGTCGTGTGCTTCCATTTTAAGGGATGCATTTTTCAGGAGCCGCTTCCTCTATTTTGCTCACATTTCAGTGCAGGTGATGGTTACTGTTTTGTCACTGGGTTTCCATGGGGAGCCCCTGACCCCTACCTAAGCCTGGCATAATTTGAATGCTGAATTAAAACATGCCCCAAGACACTAAAAATGGCCATTTCATTTGATTAAAAACAATACCATATATTTTATAATTTGTTTTATCTGTCCAGCTCACCTCCATTTAAAGGAGTTTGGACATTTATTACATATCCATTTTTACACTTGTACTAATCTTTTCTCCAGCCACCTCTGGTACTCTGATAAAACAATCAAATGTATTTTTGCCTCATAAAATTCTATACACACACACACAGACACGAGGGTGTGAGAAGGATGCTTGTAGTGAAGTACAAGATTCTTTGTTTAAATTTTGCAAATTTTTACTGATCTTGAAAATAACTTTTTCAGTAATCCTGAAAAATAGTGATCCTGAAATTTTAAGAGCTCTTTGCAGCTTAGCTGTTTTTCTCTCCTTGATAAAATTTTCCAAGAATAGTTCTGTTGCACCCTTGCAAGATCAGTACACGTAAACCATTTGGTCAAACACAGGTGGGTTAAAAAGTAGGAACCATCTGATCCAGTTTTAGCAAATACTATTCCTTCTGCTTTGAACTCTACATTTAAAATACACTTTTAAGTCAATGATTTGAATACCAACAAATTGACTTAAAAAGCATTCAGACTTCCCATTGGTGCTCTTTTCTCTCCGGACTATAAATATGTAAACCTCCCCAACAAAGTAAAAATAGCATTGATTTCCCATGCTACACAGGGAAACGTTTGCACCAGCAACAACTGTTTAAAATTACTGGTTCTGGGATGAGGAAAACAAAATGCCAGAAATAAAATTTTTATTTCCAAGCATCAAGTTGAAGCCCTTTCAAACTAGCATGGACTCCCTGGGTAACGCTTTTTCTCTGTTGCCTGGCACAGCCTAACATTAAAAAGCAGCATGGAAAACATCACGCTGACCCAAAGAAAATGGAAAGAGAAGTACTGAAGTGACCAATTTTTACCCTTGCTATAAATGGAATAAGTATGTGCATTTGCGAATCTTAATTCTTCTAAACATGTTGCCTCAACTGATGTCACTTGTAGATACAGACATGAAAATACGAGACCACGCTCTATTTTAAAGAATTGCTGAAGAGTGTTGAATACTCCAACCCACTGCACGGCCAGTGCAACTAAGAGCACAATTTAAACCACCGGATTCATTTCTTTTAACCTCCACTGGAGCTATCCCCAAAAAAGCAGGTGACTATTGAAAGCGGTTTTTTTCTTTCAATTCTAAATAACAAGAGGGATAAAAATTAATGTCATTCTATGGGGTTTGAACATTAAAAGGTACGAGAGAGTTAGCCAGGGCCTGCTAAATGGCTAAACAGATTAGTAGCCTTACTTTTCAACATATAAACATCTGAAACCCGTTTCCTGCTTAAGAAAAAAAGTCTAGGTGGATGACCTCGGGCACTTTTTTTTTTTATTAACAAATGTGAATTGTACATCATGGTGGGAAAAAAAAAAAAAAGGTCCACGCTTGGTGGTCTTTCTACAGTCTGTATATGGGGAGACAGAGAAAAAAATACAAAAATAAACGTTACCTTCTCACTTGCAGGGTGGGCAATGCCATTTCTGCAGCCGTCCAGGGCTCTGGCAAATGTTAAGGCTGTCACTGCAGACACAATCCCCATGGTCTGTCTGTGTGCCTCGATAGAGTCCGAAGAAAAACATTCCTCGCATTCCTGACGGTTGGTCCTATCTCCAGGCCTTGGCCTCGGCCCTGCAGGCTCGTGTCACCCCGTCAAACGGCCTAGGCCACGGCTAATCTAAACCCCTGCCCTCCCCAGCCAGCCCCGTGGCAGGGGAAAAACTGGGACCAATTTGCTGCCTAAACCCTGAGGATGCAGCAAGCTGATTCTCGACCCCTGAGGACGCCAGCTGCAGCTTGTTCTGCAGAAAAGAGCTTAGCGGTTCTGGCACGTTCTGACAAGATACATTTTATAGGACTTGTGCTAAAATTTGATATTGGAAGTTGGGATTCCAATTTTATGCCTCCAGTGATAACAGTGGCAGCTGGGACCTTTAAGAAATGTGTGTATGCCTTCTATTTAAGAGTTACATAATAAAAGCTATTTATGTCAAACACCTTATAAGGGAAAGATTTAGCCTAAATGTGATGAATAGAGCATATCATACCTTCTCAGATTTAGATAAGATGAAAAAAATCTGTTTTTGATTTGCAGTATTGGGTTTTTGGGGGCTCAAAATTTTAAGCGTCTCGTTTTAATTTACAAATTCATCAAGGGGCCTTTTTTCAATATTGTTTCTGTATAAAAAAACAACGGTACATAATTCAGTTTTCCAAGCCCTTCTAATGAACGCACACAAAAGGGCACAATTTCACAGGGCTTGATTTGATTTTTGTTAATTCCTAAGCATGCCATAAAAGCGTTCAGTGGCCCTTATAAATCGAAGCTGCTTTTGTTTCCTGAAAATGGCTGTGGTTTTGGCGAGGAACTGGCTGACCAGAACTTTGATAATCCTGATGAAGAGATCAGCCGCTCACGGAAGAAAACCTTTCCCAGCAATGGGACAGCAGCTCAGGCCAGCTTAATCTGCGGCTCCAAGTAAAACTTTCCCGGCAAAGGGACAGCAGTGCAGGCCAGTTCAATCCGCAGCTGGATTTTGGAGGGGCTTAGAATCCCCTCCAACTTCCCTGGTGACCCCACAGCAAGCTTTCTGAGGAGGAATGCCACTACCAAATACAGTGACTTTTGTTTACACCAGACTCTTGGGAGTGACCACGCACAGCCCTGTAAAGTGGGCTTGGTTGGAAAATCCCAGCTTCCTTCTTAGCTTTTCTGCTCAGACAGCGGAACCTAATTGAGATGGGAAGAGAACCCCAGTTAGCAAAGCCAGGGGTTCGCCTGCACCCACACGTGTGCTGCTTCAGTCCCCCTGGCTTCCGTTTTCTTTGATGAATTGGACGGTGTGACTACAGGTTAGCGAGAAAGCCCGATCGGACGGCGGCATGCTCGGTCATCTGGACGTTCTCTGCTCCTGCCCTGGCCCCCGCGTCTCCCACTGTGGACAGCAGCCCCCGCTGGGGAACACAGGTCATGGGGGACAAATGGAAACTCCACTTCTCCTTGGGACCTGTTGGAACCGGGCAACACCAACTTAAATTTGGCAAAACGCAAGTTCAGTTTCTTTTGCTCTTTCTGAAGTCACAACTTGAACGTGACAGCTCCTAAGCCAACACGATCTGAAAAAGAACTCGCTACTGAGCTGCTCTTCTCACTGTCTGAAAATTGCTTCGGCAATTTCCTTGTCTTTTATAATAAGAGAACCGCTATGCTTCCCTTGGTATTTTCCCCTCGTTTCACCACCAAATACTAGCACTTATGAAAGGATCTCTTGTGTCAATTGCCAGGCTGTCTCATATGTTGAATTTTAAATATGTTGGCTACATGATTATTGTCAGAGAATCAAGCTCCAGGTAAGGACCAGGAAGTGCATCTAATAGATGACAGCATGAATATTTTTAGAATAAAAATGGGCTGGTCCCGAGGTTTCTACAGTGACTTAGATTTAAAACACTGGCTTTGTGTCCTGTATCCCATCCACTAAGTGACACTGATGCTATCATTATCTACATTTCACATCAGATGAGATGAGGGAAGAGTCAATTTCATAAGGGGAGAACGTAACAGATGAAGCTCAACAATAAATATATTAATAACCGCCTTTACGGAGCTACTGCCAGATGCTGAGAGTTTTCTACTATCATAGTACGTGTGGAAAGACTCATTTGACCCCCACAGCAACCCAGGAGGAGGGAGTAGTATTAGCTGCATTTTGTAAATGAAACTGAGGCAGAGAGACGCCAGCCTATCACTGAAGACCAGGCTGCTGGAGAGTGACAAAGCATCAGAGTCGGGAGCCCAGGCCGGGCTGTCTGCTGGCAGAGCTGAAATAACGGAAGATAAGCACTAGCAGTGAAAGCCAGGTCAGGCCCAGGTTCACCCGCAGATCACCGCCTGGGGGTGAATGAGCCATTCTGAGCCCTAGTTTGCTCTTTAAGTTGGGGAGAGCAATGGTCCCTACCTCACGGATTTTTTAAAATTGGGATTGCATAAAATAGAGCCTGGAAAGTACATGTCCCATTGGATGTGCCCAGCAAACGCTAGGTGTTGTGCCTGTGGTCTGGGCTGGCCGCCCGCGTGCCAAAAGTTCATTCCTCTCACTGACCAGGGTCGTTACTACAAGGTTTACTCCGGGAATCCATCTGGGAACTCTGGCCAGATTGCCAAACGCCTGGATAGCAAGGTGGCTAAGGGCAGTATCGTGCAGTCCCAAGCAGCCAGGACTCAGCCAGGCTGCCCTGTGCCCAGCCTGCAGAGGCTGTCCACAGATGCCCGCAGGAAGGGGACGCATTATCGGGTGCACCAACCCTCCCAGGGAGGCCATGTGTAGAGCCCTACAAAGATAGCTCCAGGCCTTGCCGCTGAGTCTCTGTCCTAGACACAGTGTCATCCGGGGGTGGCAGAGAACGCCCAGTCGGCTTACGAGCCACCCGCCAGCCTTTCAGCTGCCCTGGCTGTCCTCTGGTTTCTGTTGGGTCTGTTTAGAAGGCAGACCCCTCAGGGTGCTTCCTCTACTCTATTCAAAGTGCCCCCGCCCTCACCCTTCAAACATAGTTGATGGTTGTACCATGAGAGGCAGGAACAATAAACAGCCCTGAAGCCAGTCCACTGAAGGCCTCAAGGTTCTGCTGACAGCTGGCCGCCTGCCCTGCCAAGGAGGCTGGGCAGCACAGGGCAGGGGGGAGGGCGGTGTTGAGAGCTGGTTCAAATCCTGCATCTGCCCCCTGCGAGCTGTGTTTGCTCAGGCTAGTAGCTTGCCCTCTCTGCATCTGGTTTCTCTGTCCGTAAAATCATGGCAGGCATGGGCAAAGTGCTGGCTAGCAATTTTGAATAAATACGGATTATCGGATTGCTATTTAACCAGGGCAATAAAAGGAAAATTGTGTGGAGAGCAATAACTCTTAAAAATGGGGTGGCCCACCCCATAATAGAAGCTAGAAAAAACAAATTCCAGGACACGATGATTTGGCAGGCTGATACATAGAAGAAATTCTACCATCGGGAAACAGCGTGGTCCGCAGGTGTTCTTCCCACCTTCTTCCTTTAATTACTAAATAAAATCTTCATTCATTTAAAAATCACTAACATAAATATGCTGTTCCCAGCGGCACTAGTGTATTCTTATATTTCAAGTATCTATACATCTGTAATTAAAATTAACGTTTTGCAAATACAAAAAACTTGAGAAACAGTGATAAGATTGTGATTGAGTTCTTTTCTGTGATATGTCTTTTATTAGTGTCTTATTTTTTTAACTGTTTCTGTGGATTTCTTTCCATATATGCATAGTTGGAATCTTGATGGAGCTTTACATAACTATTTTAAGATGGTGAACAATATTTTAGCACAGAACTATACTCCTCCCTGTTGCTGGGCATTCACATTGTTAAATGGATCTCTGTTAGAGGAGTATTTCACCCATAGAGCTTTCTACCACATTTCAGGTTACTTCACTGGGACGGATTCCCCATAGTGATGAGATTGAAGGCTATGCATATCAGATGATCTGTGATCAGATCTCAGCGTCACCTGCTAAGGAGACTCCCCTTGAGTACATGAAGTAAGTACCTGTGCTCAGGCAGCCCCCATAGGTCAAAGTTCAGTGGAAATGACCCCACGGATGGGTCTTTGCCTCTGACTTGAATCTCCATGAACTTTTACTGAGAAGTGGAGTTCATGAAGATTGTTGTAATTGTCACAAGTTCTTTGGGGGAGAATAGCTTTATGGATCATATTAGAGTTAAGAGAATTGTTTACAGATAATAGAGAAAACATTTCTGCTAATTAATAACAAACCTTAAAGGGAAACACCCAAATTGCCATGTTAATATAAAAACAGCCAGTCCCCAAGCTGCACCGTCTCTTAAAACTCGCATGCATTCTCAGTAAAGGGAGGTTCTTGGAGCCAAAATCAGACTGCGAGGGCTTCGAGGTGCCTTGGAATTCACCCACCCCAGTGGCAGGCTGCGAACCCCTGGGGCTCTGACTAACAGGCAGGTTCAGATACAGCAAGTCTGAGTGGGGCTGAGGTTCTCGTCAACAACCAGCACCAGGGAGGCTAGGGTAGCTGGTCCTGGAACCACACAGGGTGACCGGGGCTTAGAACAGAAAGGACACGGATTTCGTCTGTTTGGGGTAGCGGCTTCCTGAAGCCTTGTTTGAGAAGGATTTGGAGCAACAGATCTTAACTTTTACTATAGAATCACCAGGGGAGGGTTTTTAAAAACCTATGTAGGTTGCAGCCCCAGCTAACTGAATCGGAATATTTGTACGTGAGACTCTGGTACTAGGATTTTTTTCAAAGCTCCCATATGACTGCAATGTGCAGCTGAGGCTGAAAACTGGTGATTTAGGTGTTTTGTTAAGCCTGGGCAGGAGGGAGCTGAGGGAGGGACTGGTGATGTCTGCCGGGAGGAAGGCGGTGGCAAGCACTGCAAATCCGCCATCACTGATCTGAAGTTTGCAGAGGGTTAACAGACTTACCCAAAGTCTTGACTGTAGTGGAGGTAATATAAATCATATAAATTTAGGGAGTTAGGAACTCCGTCTTCAGACTTCTCTGTTTTTTCCCCTTTATTTCTTTTGAGATAGGGTCTCGCTCTCAACCAGACTCTACATGCAGTGGTGTTAAAATCACAGCTCATTGCAGCTTGAACTCCTGAGCTCAAGTCATTCTCTCACCATCGCCTCCCAAGTAGCTGGGACCACAGGCATGTCGCACCACACCTGGCTTTTTCCTTCTGGCCTCACACAATCCTCCCACCTCAGCCTCCCAAAGTGCTGGGAGTACAGGTCTGAGCCACCATGCCTAGCCAGACTCCAGTAATCATTCAAGATTGGCATGGACCAGTTGAGGTCCCTCACTTGAGGTCCCTATCATATTTTACTGTTTAGCCAAGAACAGTTAAGCAGGAGCCTGGCATTGAGGTTCTGCCTCAGCAGTGGCGAGAGCCAAGCCTGCTGGGGAAAAGACAGAGGACTAAGCGATGCCTGGAATTTATCCCAAAA